CACCCCCACTACCCCCGTCCATTTGCTTGTCTCTTGTGCAGAATGGCCATGGAGGTGATGCTGGTCTTCGCTAGAGCAACCGGGCGCACGCTGGTCATGCCACTGGCGCAGAAGTTCTACCTGCTGAACAGGCCGGCGGTGGAATTCGCGGACATGTTCCCCATAGAGTACCTCTCGGACTACATGGACGTGATCACCATGGAGGTAATGTGGTATGCACTACTGTGGGTGGTGGTACTGATGCTGACAGCACTGATGTTGATTCCCATGCCCTTGGGTTGAGCTGATTTCTGTTCCCGTACTTTGTTGTCGCCGGTTCAATCTTGCCGCTGCTGTCGCTTGTGCCGATGCTGGCATGAGTGAGGGAACAGTGGGGGTGCCGCGTTTTTTTCCCACGGGGATGTAACGATAGTTTCGTCTGCGGGCTGTGGGGACCCACGTGACGCGCGAAAATCTTCCTCGCCATCCGACAACGAGCGTCACAACCAATGTTAACACCACGCACACAGCGGCAATTCCATTCTGCGTTGTTAAAAAGTACGGTGTCATCCGCAAAAGCAACTCTTCTTGTGAGGACGAGAAGCCTTTCCATCCGCCGCCGTGGTAACCAACGTTTACGCTTCTCGTTGCTCGTGGGAGTGCTCGTTGCGCACGTTTTTATGTTGTTGTTTTTTTTTGCTTCTCGCAGGAATTCTTGAAGAAGGAGGGGCTCACGGGCCGACTGGGAAAGGCACCCCCTGGAAACAAAAGCTCAGGTGTGGGAGGGGGGGAGGGGCGAGTCATGGCTCGGTTCCGAATTTTTCGTTCATGTACGGAGGGCGATCGATGTACGCATGGGTTTGATGTTTTGGCGGTGCCATTGGGGTATTTTCTGGCTCCCCTGTGGTTGTGATTTGCGTCGATCCGCCCTTGCCTTTGTACATGCATCTTGCCCGTGCTGGCGACCGTTTGACGGACTGCCTGGCTGGTGGTCAGAATGCACTGATCCCTTGCTATTTTTGTTCAATAATTTTGCCTCCATCTGCCGTAACAGCGTGCGTGCTGCTACTTGAACGTCGCACTGCTGTAGGCTTCTCTGAAAAAGTGCTGTGGCAGCGACATAGGGTGTATACCACCCCACGTGCGCTACTTCGTGTTGTGGGCGCGCTTGAGTACCATGGGAGGACGGTTCGCGCGAGGGGCGAATATTTGCCTTGTGGGACGAAGCGCTACCTACTGCTGTAGCCCTAGCATCGTGCCCCGCCCCCCATGGACCTGCTCAACGCCCTCCCTACTCTGAAAGAATGCGCGGCAAGCACCACATGGCGGGGGGGGGGGGGGGGNCGGCCTACGATTCCCCCCTCGCCTGTACTCCTACAACCTGTAATTTCGCTGTGTGCGCTAAACACGTACGCACGTGTCGCAGGGCACAGCAAGGAAGCCGTGCAAGACTACCTGCGGGAGGTTGCCGACATCGTTCCCCACTGGTACCACATGGACGAGGCCTTGATATTCGGCCCTTCGCCGGAAGATCCCAAGGTCCCCAACGACGAGGAGTCTCAGGCAAGTTGGGGAGGGGAGGCGATTGATTGCTGTGCTCCCTCTCTCTCTCGCTCGCTCGCTCTCTCTCTCTCTCTCTCTCTCTCTCTCTCTCTCTCTCTCTCTCTCGATGAGCTGGCGGTTGGTTGTTTCTCGAAAAGTTGTAGTTTCTTCATGGAGCGGTGCTGCAATTGTTTTTGCTGGGAAAGGTGTGCGCGTGTAGTCTCTGTTGGGTCTCCGTTTCTGTCTGGAGTAATATTCGTTGTTTGTGACGGATGATGTATTTGCGTGGCGTTGTTGTTGTGCAGATGTCGGTGCTTGTGTTTGACACGTTTTGATTGTGGTCGTGGTTTTTTGGAGAAGAGTGGGTCGTGCGTGGGCGAAAACAACGACCGCTACCTGGGCAAATTTTAGGCTTTCCTAATGGTAGACAGACAGAGACAAGGCGTGTGGACAGATTGTAGGGCAGAAAGACTGCGAAGATGTGTCAGGGCGAAAACAGAGTTCCCAAGGGTAACGGCTTTCTTTTGCAGATTTGCCCTGGAGCAAGTCTCTACCTGCGATAGGCACAAGAATCCTGGTTTGTACAGAGACCCGCCATGCTTCCCTCTCCTGTCGGAGAATGGGTTGGCCGTCAGGCCTTCTCTCCCTCGACGCATGCGTATTGATATGCTTGCGCGGATTCGAAACTGACACACATGGGGATGTCTAACGAAGAGGTGCTGGCAAACTTTGCCAAGCGCTCTGCCGGAGCGGGGTGGCAATTAACGCGCCGTCGTCTCGTCTCTGCTCTGCCGTCGGATTGCTTGGTTTGATGGTGCTTCTTTGTTCTCCCGCTTGTAGAATACCGTGCACCGTGCCGTAGCATGTTTGTTGCGGGTCGTCTACGACCGCCGCCGCCAACACGACCACCACAACAGCGTGTCTTCCGTTATTATCGTACGACGTTGTACCGTGTGCCATATTTTGCTGTGCGTCTTGGACGACTGCCGCCGGCGCCGGCGCCGCCAACACGATGACAACAACAGGCGTGGCTGCAGGAGTTCCTCACCGACAAGCGGCGACAGCTGGATTACGGCGAGGATATGCAGCGGGCTCGGCACATTCACTTCCGGGTGAGTGTGGCCTCTGCGATTGCATTCACAGAAACAGGACAACTACAACGGCGGGTGGTCAGCTTGTCGTATGGAGCCCCCTTCAACATCCCTGACCCTAATCCTAAAACCCAAACCGAGATCGAACAGCACAAAAGGTATTTGCACTTTTTTTTTTCGTGTGTGTCCCGCTTGGACGTCGAACGTTTGATGGTGTGATGTCCGCAGCCGTCACAGCATTTCAACGTTTGAAGAATGTGCTCCTTGATCTGTTGATGGCAGAAGAGGCTTGCGCGGAGGGAGTACAAGTAGTGTACTCGCCTCTAGATAGAGATAGTACCTACGGAAAGCGTGTGGTACGGATATTGTCGGGGGGAACAAAACGCACAGCGGTTTTCCAACACACACGTTAAACCCACATGTAGGCTTCCACAAAATGCTGCTGTACCCTACCTACTACGTAGAGGGCACCGTACCGCACAGGCTGCGCACTCTGGAGTAAGACTACCACTGACCCGAAAATGACGGTGCGAAGCAAGAGAGGCGGCTGGGTGGTGACACTCCGCTCGTGATGGACGAATATCCTTGCGTTGGTTGGTAAAATAATGAATACCCTGCCTTATGTCTCGTAACATTGTACCTCCGCACCGCTCGGCGCACTCTGTACCGAAACGATGCTACTAGACCAAAGAGGCGAGTAGGTACGTCTAGTCTGCCACCCCGCTCGTGATGGACGAGTATCCATGCGTTCGTTGCTAGGAAATAAAGAAACTGTCTTGCTTTCGTAACCTTCCACCTTCCAACTTCCACCTTCCACCCAACCCGCCCCCCCCCCCCAAAAAAAAAAAGACATCGCCCGGAAAGGGCCGCGAGGAGTACAGGCTCTTCACCCACTTCTACACCTTCGTGGGCTTCAGCGACCCCGTCGCGGCCCGACACCACCGCCGTCTCGTGCGAGACCTCGTCCACTTCCGAGAGTCCCTCTTCTGTGCGGCGGCGACGATAGTCGGGAGGCTCCGTGCCGCCGGCGGGGGGGACCCCGGGAATTGGTCCGGGTACTACGGGGAGTGGGGAGGGCTCGGGGGGAAGGAAGGGGGGGTGGGGGGTGGGGAGGTGGCCGGGGTCGGGGGGGGCAGCTACGCGGACGACGGCGGGGGAGAGGTTCGGAAGCGGGCGGGCTTCAGCACGTTCCACATCCGACGAGGGGACTTCCAGTACGCTAGGGTGTGTATGGTGTGAGTGTGAGTGTGTGTGTTTATGGAGGCTGAAGTCGCTTCTTGGCGGTTCGTGCGTCTTTTTTGGGGGGGTGCGGGGGGGGGGGG